ACCAGTTGCAACTTATGGATTGGAAACTATGGCAATAACAAGAAAAATGGCAGAACAATTAAGAGTAACTCAACGGGCCATGGAGAGGGCCATGTTAAATATAAACCACAGAGACAAAATTCCTAACACCGAAATACGTCGAAGAACTAAAGTAACCGACATCATGGGAAAAATAGCGACATTGAGAAGGCAATGGGTAGCACATGTAGCAAGACAAGACACCAACAGATAGTCTCATAAAGTGACATTCTGGAGACCTCGAGAAACAAAAAGAAACGTGGGAAGACCTAAAAAGAGATGGATAGATGATATAACTGCTGTAGCTGGAAAGCAGTGGATGAGAATTGCAAAAGAAAGGGAAGCGTGGAAGCAATTGGAGGAGGCCTATGTCCAACATTGGATAAATGAAGGCTGAAGAAGAAGAAGAACTGTCCAGTGGAAAACGGAATCTTGAATTCTTCCAGTTACTTGTTGGTTTCAATGTTATTATTACTTCCCGTGGTTTTAGTAAAGAACTGTACAGTAAATGAAACTGTTTAATACTTTTATGTAAAAATATAAAAAACTTAATTGTTTGCGATAATGAAATAAAAATGAATGTTACAAATATATTAACACAATGGCATGTTGTTTGTTTGAATTCTTAAATCAGAAATGTCTTTGCCGACAGGAAGGTCGATTTCAGCCAGATATAAAAAAAACCGCCTTGTCGGACAGTTTCGTTATCATCACGATAAGCCGTGGCTGGGTCCGTTCAATATCTTATCTCGGCGACAAGCTGTCGCCGGGATCAAGTTTTGCAAACGACATTGACATGGTCAGCTCATTTCGGTTTTAACAATTAATAATAATTGGTTTTAAATGCCATTAGATGTTCGATAATAAAATGCAATTACTACATCTTGGATGTAATAATCTACATGATTGACCGGATTATGCCAATTATTAGCTGTAACATTATTTCAGGCTTGATTGAACAATACTTTTACGTCACATAATTTAAAAATAACATTTTTTTTTTTCGCAACTTCGCCCTTTACTTACTTGCTCCCAAATTAATTCGATGGGGTTTAACTCACAATAATACGGGGACAACCTCAGCATACACCTACCTGTCAGTTAAATCATTTCATCTACCATATATTTTTTTTCTATAGGATGATTTTTCATCAGTGTTTCTGCCTTGATCATATTATTAGTGTATGGAATACTTTTTTGTCGTAACCAAGTTGAATATCAGCCTTCCGCGTGGCACTGGTTGGTAATTTTTCATATTTCCTACTGTGGTGTGATGCACTATCTAAAACAATGACTGCATTTTCAGGTAAAGTTAACAAAACTCTTTGTAACCACTCTTCGACACGATCGGAATTCATATCTTCGTGGTAGTCACCCTTTTTCTTAGCCTGGAACCAGAACAATTCATTTTCAACAAACCTATCTTTAGAACCGATATGTAGCACAAGTCTTTTTCCTTTTCCAGAAGGATGTTTCAGATCTGTAGATAAACATTACACATACGCTTGCCGAGCACTGGTAATTGACATATCAGTCCCAACTTTGTCAACAGTATGGCCAGTGTTGACCTAAGTCTCATCTAGGTAGAACATAATTTGATTTTCCTGTTTATATTGCTTTATACATCGCATTTATTGACGCCTCCACGATATCATCTAATTTTTGGCCCAACTGGTTTGGTTTTCCCCAATATTTCCGATGCCTTCCAAAATAAACGGCTATTATGTTTTTACATTTTGTTCACAATTTCTCCACATTTTCCCTCACTTCCAGGCTCTCTATATGCGCGTTTCAATGCGCAGATTATCAACATTAATTCTGTTTGTTTTATGTGTTTATACTTCTTTAGGTTTGAAAGTCTTCCTCTAATTTTTGCCATTACAAGAAAGTCTGTTTGGACCCCGGTAGCTTCTGATATCCATGAGGAAGGAATAATGTCCTGCATCTATTATAATGTGATCTCTCTGGTTAACGGTTTCGTTGTGAGGTGATTTCCATGTTCCTTTTTGTATTATTTTATGGGGAAATCTTGTTCTTCCTACTATCATGTTTTTGGTGCTTGCAAAGTTTATTAGTCCCAACCCATTATCATTTGACTCTATGCAAGTTCTCCCATGTTATAGTTGGCAAATTGTTCTCCGCCAATTTTTGCATTAAGGTCCCTAGCAATGATTTGTTTCACGTCATGACGTGGACATCGATCATATTATTTGTCTAAGATCCTCTCTTAGATTATCTGTCTAAGATCTTTTAGGACTCATCTTCCCACATGTGCCTTTTTACTATTTTCTAGGTACCAAATGTCTCACAACATACAGGGCCTTTTGACAAAATCTCTAGTTTAAAATAAATATATCCTTACACATGTATAGTTGGTTGCCTATCAATCCTACAAAATTTCATAAATTCTAGTTGACCTACATTAATTTTTAAAAAACCAATTTTCAATGTTACAAATATACCTATCTGATTAATTTACAATACAGATTACAATATTGATGGTTGATACTGTTACATTATTATAATTTTAACTTTTTCAATTTTAAACAAGGCTGACATCTGTCAATTTTAGACAATTACCGTAAGTTACACTGACTGCTCTGACACAACATCCGTCCTAACTTGTCAACAATGTCATTTTGATCAGTTGTTATCAACAGGTCCTCGTAGACACTTCGTCTCAGGACCATTTTACTCATGTAGAGTCATACGCCGCCATGTTACCTATCCAACGGTAACTTAACCATCACAAATTAGTAATACTAATAATGTAAAACAATTTCAAATTTATAACATTTAAAGGGTTTTTATCCATATATTTTGGTGACTACTAGCATGTACAACCGTAAGTATTAACCACATTTTGCTCTAACCTTTGTCAACATTTTCATTTAACGTTCTTTTTAATTAAAGTGGTTATATACTTTCAGGTTTGCACTGATGATGGATTGTTTAATCCGAAAACGTTTTGCAATGTGTTTGTGATAGCCCGTTTGAGGCATTTTTATATACCTTTTATAAAGGATTTTAAACAAATTTTTTTTTATTTGTCTAAGGTGTCGTAGAATTCATCTCGTTCGTCGTCTTCCTTCATAAAGATCATATTTACGGAAAATTAATTAATTTCAATATTTTTCCTATAGTGGTCTTCTTTAAATTAGGGATATTAGGATTTTCACAAATTTTCTGCACAATTTTTTGAATTGTTGGAAGCTCAGTATCCACGAATAAACTGTGAACTATCCGACGAATCATATTCTTATGATCATCTGTAACTTCATCGAGAATTTTGTTTTCTCTATGTTATGCTTCACGATGTTCATGTGAAACATTATGTAGTGATGACTTGTTGATACCCAAAATGTTTAAATATAATTATTATTATTGTTGACATAATAATGTAATAGTTACCTGTAGACTCAGCAGTGAATTGTATAGCATTTCTCTGTTCTGCTCTTGGGATCGTTTTATAAGTGTTCATTATTACACCTTTTTCCTCAATAGTTAAATGTTGTCTTTTGTCTATTTCTTGGAGCTGAAAAGGTGTTTCTACTCATATTTAATCAACGTAATACACACCATTAATAGCAATATTTAATCAACGCAACCCACACAAAAATGAATACAAATACATTTTCTTCTTATGTCTTCACTTCTCTTTCGATGTCTCAGCGTATTTCCTATACTTCTTCTCATCAGTACTCTCATATCTGCTCTTTCCAGCAGCCTTTATGTTGTGGCTGTGTCGGATCTTGTTTCTGAGGTATATGTCATTATTGGTCTTACACTGGCTTTATAAATTCTTGACTTCATCTCAGTGTTAATGTGTATGTTTCGCTATATTGTGTTATTAAGGCATCCTACCAGTCTATTTGTTTTTTGTACTTGATCTCTCACTTCTTTGTCCAGGTCTCCATAGCTGGACAGTGTAATTCCAAGGTATTTTATTTCCATTACTTGTTCAATATTGATGCCATCAATTTTGCTAATTTCTATTGTTAGTTTTCTGAGATGAGATTGTCATACTAAATTATTTGGCTCTTATGTTCAATCTGTGAACCAGTCTTTGCAGACTATCGATTCCGTAACGCAGTAACAGCATCCAAAACATATTCTGCACTGATATAAATTAGGATCATACTCCACTTAACATACTGATCCATAAATTAGAGCGTTCAACTCTAAAACCGTTTTGCTCTTCTGATTCTGAGAATTTTTATTATATTCCAGTTTTTATTACTTTTCCATACAGAACTCAAGATACTTATGTTCGATAATTTATGCAGTTACGTCTATCTCGTTTTTGAGTATAGATGTAATAATTCCTTTTTTTCTACTCTATGTGTAGCCTCTCGTTCTGTAGTCATTAAATACACCAATATGTGCCCAAACTTTTTGGTACTTATTAAAATCATAATGTTTTTCTTGTAGCTGCTCTATTTCCTTGCATTTTTCTGTGAACCCTCTTTCTGAATTGGGTTCTCCTTTGCTCTCATTTCTCTATTTAATCGCTTGTATTCAGCGATTAAATAATATATCATAAAACATTGGAATATTATATATTCTATGGTATTCTTATGTTGATATTTTTACATCTCATCCATTAAATCTAGAATTTCTATTGTTATTGAGTGTAAGAACAAGTTTAAGAGTTGTTCGCACAATAACTGGGAGAAAAATTGTGCTTTTAATGATTTTCACAGCTTATTAGTTTTCAATAAGGCCGATGTATTGATTATTGATGAAATCAATAACATCAGATACCACTGATATATTATATAAGTTTTTATTTTACCTTTTTTTGTTTAGTTTTTATTTTTTTATTTCAGAACAAAAAGAAGAAAGGCTAATGCTTATTCGGAATGCCTCTATGTTTTGTATGAGACTGCATGTTTTATGTTTTTAAGTATTATAACATTTTGTTTTAGTTTAGTTGTTTTTTTATTTCAAAAATTTAAATGTTACTTTAATTTTCTTTTCAGAGTAAGAGGTAAAACTTCTGCGTTAACTATTTTGTCGTGATACTACTTTTAAGAATTTGTATTTTCATATTTGTAACTTGATATATTAAACAGTATGTGTAATAGATGAAGTTTTATTTATTCCTGGATAGTTAAGGCCTATTCTCACTATAGTGCCAGGCATGTGCTCGGCTTGTGACCCTGCTCGAGACGTGCAAAATTACTTTAACGTTATTTAAATGGGTTTAGCGACGGTCCGTTCTCACTACAAGTGCTTGCAGTGGGAACGGTCCGTGCCCGGCATCGGACAATCTTTTCAAACAATATTTTCCTAGCCCATGCCTGGCACATTCCTTGCACAGTCCTACATAGTGTGAATACTTCAGACGAGTTTCGACAGGCAAAACGGTGCGAAAAAAATTATTTTCACATGATACTGATGAATTTTTAATATAATTAGTTCGTGAGAGAAGTGAATTATACGATTTTATGAATCGACTGTATGCAGATGCAGCACATAAGTCTCAGGTATGGTGGGATATTGGAGAAAATATTAAAATAGGTAAATAAAACACTATATTTTATCTAGGTAATAGACCACTGCCGATAATATTTCAAACAAAAAAAAATAATAGTAGGATGAAACTCGTAGGAAAAGAAAGATGATATGACAAAAATAAAAGAAAAAATAATTTACGGGCGACCTGAGTTCGGAAAATGGAGGGAGTGAGTTTTTTAAGGACAAAAATGGTTTATCGTGATTTCCTAGAGCAAGTCGAACTACATATCTACTAAAGCAAGTAAAACTACAGAAAAAATCTATTTGTAGTTAAAGTAGCTGGAACCACTATTGATTGGTGCTATAATTTTGATGTGCTTTTCATCTAGAGGGCTCCTAATGCCTTGGGAAAATTCCACGACAACCAAAATTTTTTGGCACTTTGTTTAAAATCGCATTCTGCTGAAATTCGGCAATTGACATTCTATAATATATATATATATATATATATATATATATATATATATATATATATATATATATATATTATATATATATATAATTTTTACTCATTATCCATGAGTTCTTTATACAAGGTATAGTATTCTCCTTCTATTTGTCTTTTCTTAATCATTGGATGTATCCAAAACCTCCTTTTTTAACTTTATCTCTCATATTCTCTTCTTCGGCATCCAAAGTAAAAAATGCAATTTTTACTAAAGTTGCCGTGGAAAACATTACAACTGCACAACTACCCGCCGACACGTCTAACCGACTGCCTGTGCCAAATACCGCTGAAAGCATGCTACGAGCGCGAATAGTGTGAATATTTACCAAAAGCATGGCATATGCCGGTCAGGTGACGAGCACGGGCCTGGCACGTCTAATGAGAATAGACCTTTAACAATAATAAACTAATAAACAGTGGCGTCGGGTGAGGGATTTTCAAACAGTTAATTGTTTTTCACATCCACACGTTTCTGTCGGGACTTTATCCCATAAAATGTATTTACCTAACCAAACTAAATTTTACAATAATTACATTTGTTTTAAGGTTGAGCTGCACCCCTAAAAGACTAACTTCACATTTGAGAAGGTATACGTAATCACTAGATAGTTGCCGAAAATAGACAAAATTCTTGTGGGTGTCAGTATGATAACAGAAGGATTTCTGAAAACAGAAGGCCACAAAATAAAATTAAAAGAAGTACATAGATCAAAGCAAAACTCTTTCAGTAGAAGAAAAAGAGTTTGAAGAATATTATAAAAGAACCGTAAAAAAGGGATAACGAAGGAAGATTTGCAGTTAAAATACCCTTCAATTTTAATACAAGCCTATTAGGGAGACTCAGTACAGCAACCATATGCTTCTGCAATTAGAGAAGAAATTTTAAAGGCACAAACCTAGAAAAAGAAGAGGTGGTGTTGTGCGCTCGTTGTTGGTCCCAAGGAATCTACTTGCAGTAGATTACAATAACTTACACTAATTTTTTAAGTGACATATGAGAATAAAATAAGGTAGTCAGATATATTCGAAACTACAAGAGAGCCAAAAAACAAAGGCATCAAGTTTTTGTATCCAACCTCATCCAGCGCCTCGAATACATACGTATCACAACCAAATTTAGGTAAAACTTTAGAGAAATCCCTTCCTAGATCAGTTTCACTTAATGAGCTTAGATTTGAATTAAATAGTCTAGTTGAATTAAAAATTCTAAATATTCAAGTTATAGGTAGCACTGCTCGGGTGAGATAATAATTCAAAAACCGAGTGAATTAGTGTTATGATTATTGTTATATTATTATTTTGTATGTGTTGAAATATTTTCTATTGGTAGTCTGTTTTTTATATAGTGGCCAATATGTTCAATCACAAATTAACTCCGTTCATTTGTAATCTCACATTATTCTTAACTTCTTAATCTTTTATAGTTTCACCGTGTATAAGTGAAACATTGTAAAACCAGATCGTATATTTTATGGTTGCGTTGAGTAACTGAGTTACCGTTGCTAACTACCCATCTTTCTGCCCTTTTTGATTTCTTTTTCTTTGTTCTCCTGAAGAAGCTACATACAATTGTAGCGAAACGTCGAGATGAACCCACTTTGGGTCACTCACAAAAGATCATTTTTATTGAAGCTTGAAATATTACAAAAAGTTTGTAAAAATAAATTTAAATATAAGTAACTTCTAAATAATTTTAAAGTGTTGAATAATCACGGATCAGACATAGAATATCTTTGTAACTCATTTATTTAATTTAATATATTTGACATTTTCATTACAGATGTATAAGATGTATCTAATCTCAATAAATTTTTTTGCACAAATATTATGCTTCACATATTCTGGAATAGAGTACTTAGGTATTTCATTTCACAGATATTCAACATAAAGGATTAACAATATAAACAGGTTAACACAATAAAACAAAGGTTTAATTTTTGAAATTCTAATGGCTTATAAATTAGTATTTATAAATGAAAAGTTTTTAATCAAAAGTACCACACTCAAATATCAACAGCACCCCCATTTGCCAGTATTTCCATGATTTCTTTATTAAAATTAAAATAAAAAATGGTAAACCTCCATAAAATACCAAAAGCTCTGTCATTCACAATTCTTGACTCAATTTATGATAGATTATACACATAAAATACATATACATATAAAATTCCCTATTTTATAAACCCATAATATGCAAAAGTATTTAACAATTCCTAAAATAGCTACTTCTAATAATTGCACTTCCATATTGTACGACGAGTATTATGGGTTAGGGTACCCATTCTTTAAATGAGAAAATAATTAAATTCAACGTTTTCCTATTTTCAATGATCTTATTTTAATTTTCAAAAATATTTAATGTCATTCGTCAAAATAAAAGAATAAAATCTGTGTTTGCATAACTCTCTAGTGACGACATACGCATTACGGAAGGTTTCAAACTTTCAAGTAGTGTCAATGGCTTACTGTGTTATATGCATCGAGCAATAAGACAAAAGAGGGAATCTAATCCTTATGAAAAGGAGACCAAAAAAGTGGCCTCTGATGGCGGACATATCCGGAAATGCCAATGCGCCAAATTTAAATTTTCCGACACTTATCAACAGTAGCTATATAATATTTTTCAGAATGTGTCTTAGACGAGAAAGTTTTAATTAATTATTAATGATAAGAGTCTAAAATGCGACACAATTGTTAAAAAACTTCAATATAAATAAGATTTCATGTGACATTTGAGACAAACAATAACATAACCCAACTAAATTTGATGTCAAACAAGGAGAGATACTCTCTTTCCTTGTTTAATGTGGCCTCTAAAGACCGCACTTCCTGTTCCTGCCCCTGTGGGGCAAACAATATGTTTGCCCCCACTACCTTTACATTCCCTCTTTTGTCTTTTTGCTCGATGGTTATATGACACAATAGTGTTGACACACTGAGTTGATACAATAAGCTGCGCCAGTGTTGCTGTATCAACACCCAAAAATTTAGTATTTTACCCATGGTTACAAATACCCATCAATATAGAACTTGGCGTAAGACAAGGAGATAGTCTGCCAACGGCCTTATTTAATATCATACTATCAGGATTAAGCAGAAATCCAGAGCTGAAAAAAGGACAATTATTCAAAGTTCAACACAAATCATACGATACGTGGACGATCTAGCGATAGCGCGTGACAAACAAAAACTCGAAGAAATAGTCTTAATATCCTTGATAAGAGAAGCAAAGAACAGAGGACTACTCTTCTTTTCTTTTTCTTCTTGATGTGTCTATCCGTTACGAATGTAGGCGATCATCATGGCAATCTTAATCTTAGACGACTAGTAATCAATCAGAATATAACAAAATACTTAATAAGTACAAGAGACTGACAATAGGAATAATAATGGATGAAAACAAATTCCAAAGGGTCAATTCCTTTAAATACTTGATGTTAGTGGACGGCGATAATGGAAGTAGTGTAGAATTAAGCGAAAGAATTAAAGCGGGAAACGGGGTATTTTGGAAATATCACTCACTAAAAAAATCCTGAGCAAAAAACAAACACAAACATATATAGAGCAGCTATAATTAGACCGGTGATAACATAAGGAATAGAAGTAATGGATTTTATGAAAAAAGATGAAGACAAACTAAGAATTATGAAAGAAAAATTATGAGAATACACATCCCAATAAAGGCAGAACATGGAGAATATAGAACACTAATGAAGCATGAAATAAGAAATATACCCTAGTAATACACGACGTCCTATGGACGTCCAGTTTTGGTGCGGACGTCCCTGGACGTAAAATGGACGTACGAAGTAGGACGTACTTTGGGTGGACTAAATATGGACGTTCTCTGGACGTCCGACAATTACCAATTATGAACTGAAGAGGAAGACATAGTAAAATTTCTTAATGAACAAAGACTGATATGGTTTAAACACATACAACGAAGAGAAGAAGACAGCACTAATTTGGAAGAAAACAAACCGAAAACTAGTAATAAAGAGACCAAAAGGCAGACATGTTCGCATATTTTAAATAAAATTTAGACGATTAACCATTTACCTTATTGTTATTCCCATTAAGATATTCTACTGTGGCTCATGGT